CAGGTTGCCATCCACGTCCCATAAAAAACAAGGATACTTTTGGTGGCTATAAACTGTACTATGCTCTTATTTGAGATTTTTTAAAATTTTAAAAAATTTGAAATTTGAAAACCCACCTAAGAATGATTTATTGTTTAAAATTAAATTTTAAAATAAGTTAATTTCATACTTCATACCCATTTTTTTGTTTATTACTTTTACCAAATGGCCCCTAAAAATAAGATACTTCAAGGCTTTTTGGGAACAAAGGTAATTTGGGGCCTTCAAGGTCATAAGTTTGTTTTTGGGGTTTTTGAATAAAATTAAACTTCAAAGAGTAGGGGTAATTTGGTAAAAAATAGATAACAAAAAATAAGAAGAGTACATGCATAAATTTCTCAATGTTAAATGGTTAATAGGAAAAATATACAAAGAGGCTATTTTTTTAATATAAGACCACAATCACTCTTGTCCATCAGAATTCAAATCGGATCGTTGTGAGTTTTTCATTGAATAAACTCAAAGATCAAATTTTTTTTTTTCAAACTTTATGACACACCAAAAACCATCCAATTGGATGTCTAATAGCTAGTAAAAATTTAACCTTCTTGTAACAAAAATAAATGGTCTCTTAGCATAAAATCCCTAATATGCTCTTAGTAACAATTGTGACCTATTTGTATTGTAACTATTATAAATGGTCTGTTGATGTACAATCCCTAATTAATAAGCGTCTTTGCAATAACTTTCTTTTGCACGTGTTAGTATATATTATATCCCAAAAGATTTGCCTACTCCCTAGGGAGTATAATATCTAAAATACATGCAAGGGATAGTTTTTACATCTCAAATTTGGAGATGTAATTTCTACTACCAATAGAATAATATCAACAAAAAATAAATGAAAAAACTTTTCATATAAAAAAAATATGCCTCCAATGAATAAAGACCACCCAATTTTTGAATGGCTAGATCTAAGGATGACAAAACTCATAATTCAAATATTTCATTTTAAAAATAATTATCTAATAGTTTTATAAAGTTCCCAATGTATTAGACTAATGAGAGAATAGATGCGCAGTATGTTCCCACAGAAACACCAGTATATGCGCTCATATTATATGGTAGTGAGACTCACACGTCACTCATGCCCTGTTCGTATTATTTGGTAGGGTGTAGTGACACTCACACATCACTAATGCCGTGCAGACCCTTCTTCCTAATATTCAAATCCTAGGGAAACAATAAAAAAGAAAAAAGTATTTCAATCAAGACAAAATTGCTCAATAAAATTTCATGATTTGGAACTTATTTAGGTCAATCATCAACCTAAGTGATTTGAATGGGTTAAATTACCAAAATATCATAATTTATCTATGGTAGTAAGTGTAGACAATTTAAGCATTTATTAATAAATAATTTTTAAAAATACTTAACTGAAAGACTTCAATGAGTGATTTCGTAAAATTATTCATTTAACTACCTCGATAACTTAGGGTGTGTTACAAAGTTTGATAAAAAAAAATTTTTGTCTTTGAATTTAGTGAATGACATCCTCACAACCACATGGTTTGAAATTTAAAGGACAAAAATGATTATAACCTTCTTGAATGGACTATTTGTATACTTTTCCTTGTAAAAATATTCCCCTAGATAAATTGGTGCTCTTGCTTTTCCACAAGGGTGTGGTTCGGATAAGGTTACCATATTAAACAATCAAAGTAATGTGCGCCTCCAAACTTTGTCATGAGAAGAAATTGTGTTGAAAATTCTTAGGATAGTGCAAGAATATCTATTTGATCTCTAATTAAAAAAATTTAAACTAAAAAAAATTTCAAACCAAACAGATCTATAAATGCAAGAAAATCTAAAAAATCAAACGATTGAGTTAATGTGCTACAAGATGTACTATTTGTAGGATTTGAAATCTAATTTTTTTTTTCTCTATATCTATACATTTTGATGTTGAAATGATCGATTAGACGTTTTCTGAGTATCAAAATATCCTTTTTCTAAGGATTTTACATGCTGAGTTGATCTATTAGATTTTTTATTTTTTTTACTTTGAATTTAGTGAATGACATGCTCACAACTTTAAAATATAAAGGACATGAGTGATTGTAATCTTCTTGTGCTAAGTAAATGGTCTCTTTGTATACTTTGCCTTTTAATAATATTCCCATAGATAAATTAGTGCTATGGCTTTTCTGTAAGGGTGTGGTTTGCATAAGGTTGCAATATTAAACAATCAAAGTAATATGTACCTCCAAACTTTGTCATGAGATGCAATTTTGGTGTCAAAGATTTTTAGAATAGTGCGAGAATATCTGTTTTATCTCTCATTATAAAATTTTAAACTAAAAACATGATTCAAAACAAGGAGATCTACAAGCGCATAAAAAGCTTGAAAATGGATGATCTAGATAATGTTTTGCAAGATGTACTATTTTTAGGACATAAAATTTCATTTATTCTCTATATTTGCACATCTCGATGTCGAGATAGTCAATTAGTCACTTTTTAGTAACAAAATAGCCTTTTTCGAAAGATTTTAGGTGTGCACCTGTAGATTTTAAGGTGTCAACCTTATATAATTTTTTCCTTTATGTAAACATCCCAAATGGAAAAATAATATAAAATTGCAATACAGGAGTTCATTTTAAAGTTTTCCGGGTTTGGATTGCCCATCCACTTTACCGAATCAATGATTTGGATCAGCTAACAGATGTTAAATTGGTCACAATATATAATATTATTAAAAAGGGAGTCAGGAGAGGGAGGATCATTTTTATTTTTATTTTTATTTGTTTTTGACAAGTTAACAGTAGGGATGGAAGGTACGACTTCAGAGAGGAAGAAGTTTTATGGTTTTAAGAGCCAACCCATCGATAGACCAGAGTTTTAAAACACTAAATGGACTATGAAAGTGTTATCCAATATTTTCTGCCCATTAGTTTTTTCCCCCTTCCCTAGAATATTCTTTTTTTGAAAAATTTACTTCCTCTCTAAAAATACTTATCTTAGCAACTAAAAAAAACTATGCCATTTATCTCTTATTCTCACGCACCAACAATTACCCTTATGCCAAACTATTGTATTTACCTTTTGTTTTAAAACAAGACTCCAAGAAGAAATACTATAACTTGCCTAAATATATCCTATCTAGAAAATACGGATATTTTTTTAAATAAATCACACCAAAAATATGGTTTCAACTTTTCTAAAGAAATTATACCTTAAGATAAAAAAAAACTTGTTTAAAAAAATAAATTTAATCAAACTAAACTAAAAAAATCTATTTTTAACTATTAACCCTAATAAATAAAAGTAAAAAATCTACTCAATCTTTGAAAATAAAATTAACAAAAGACAAAGTTAAAATTATATAGCAACTAGATTTTTATATGTATGTACCGAGAGAGGTCAAGAGGTTCTATTTCTTTATCCGAAGCTACCCTATTACCGAAGCAGACGCCGGAGCTGTGACGTTATTTTCTGATCGCCACGTGGGAACAAACCTATTGACCGTTCTATTTGCGGAATATACCCTGTTAACTTGTCTTTTTTTTCCGAATTCGTAACGTCCGTACTTATATTTTCTTATATAAATAAACCCCTTAAGCATGTTCAGCCTCACTAATCTAGAGAGAGAAAGTCTTTTATCATTTTAGAGAGAGAAAGCTCCCTTAGCACTTCT